TTTTCCTATGAAAATATAGAAAATTTAAATTTTCTTACGAAATGAAAACATAGAAAATTTGCGAAAAAATACAGAAAATTCAGGTTTTCCTCTTAAAAGATAAAGAAAATGGAGTATTTCCTAGTAAAATATAAATAACGCTAAGCCCCAAACCCCCCCCAAAAAAAAACCCAAAGCAATTCCTGGCCCTTTGAAAGACACCTCGTCAGGTGCTCGGCGGCCTGGGTGTGCCGGAGCACAGCTGCTCGACCACGAGTGGTCGGTCATCACACAGCAGGTTTCGCTTTCGCGAAACCTGAGTGCAAAAACTTCTGCAGGGCAGGAAAACTTCGCAGAGCACATTCGCGCCGCCCAGTGGTGACGAGTGCTCGGCACGACCGATCGCTGGGCGGCCTTCTGTGAGGCAGTGAAGGAGCACCGGCAAAAAGGAAGGCAAGATTCGGATTCAGGTTCCGCACTGCAGGAACAAGTGCCGAAAGACAAGGAAGGAGATCCCGCTCAGTTACTTCCTGGAATGGGAGCTGTCGCCGGGGAGAACAAAAAAAAAAGCTGTCCTGGCAAGGAATTCAAGCCAATTGGAAGAAAGCCTTCAAGTGAGGATGCAGAGACAGCGAAGAAGAACCAGGAAAGCCTTGAACAGGTTGCTGCTCGTTTCACCGGCATGGGTCTGCAACGTGTGGACACGCCGGCAGAGGGGGATTGCCAGTTTTTAGCAGTCCTCTACAGTGCGCATGCCTGCGGCTGTAGTAGTGCGCTCCCTTTCTTCTGTGTTTATTTGGCTTACGCTATCGCCTAAACCCTAAACGGAAGGCCTGCTGCAAACCACGACTTTGTAACTGGCAGCCAGGCATTCCGATGGATGCTGCGCAGTTGCGCCTGCAGGTAACTAATTATTTGATTGAGCTTGGTCATCTCTTCAAGCCGTGGTTCGACCCGGATTTCGGCACGTATGAGCAATATGTCAGTCATATGTCGCTCCAAAGACATCGCACAAAGGGTAACTTTTCAACACGACATCCAAGTCCGTGATTCCCCTTTTTTCCTTGGAATTATAACTAGTAGCTAGTAGTATGGCTACCCTACAGGATCTTGGGGGGACGACTTGACGCTCACGGCGATGGCCCACCTCATGATGCGAAAGATCGTTGTCGTTTCAGACAGCCACATAGAGCCTGTCAGGGAGATACTGCCCACGAGTTTCATCTCGGAAGATGCTTGGTTGGATCCTGTTGTGATAGCCCACCGCGGCTGCAATCATTTGAAGGGACGGAACCCTTGCCTGCATAGCGAGAGGAAAGGGTCAAGCGACAAATTCAGTAGCCAGTTCCTCTGACGCAGTCTTATCCAAAAGTACCGGTGGAGATCTGGAGTTTGGCGTTGTTTTGCAGCTTTGAGGCTGCAAACGGACTGTAATAGCTTATAGGATATTAGAAGCAGTTGTTTGTTGTTGGTTGTTGTTGGGGGGGGTAATGGGTACGCAGTGCACGCGTGTACCTTGTTGTTGTTGGTGGTGCGGCTGATGCTGATGCTGATGCTGATGCTGATGCTGCTGCTGCTGCTGCTGCTGCTGCTGCTGCTGCTGCTGCTGCTGCTGCTGCAGTCACTGTAGTTTCTATATTTGTCGTCGTCGTCGTCGATGTTGTTGTCAACGCCAGCGGCACTTATTTATCAGGATGATGCTGCGTACGACGATGGTGATGATGACGATGATTCTGCTTCCTGCGCAGAAGGAGCTCCGGGATGCTTTGGTCGAGCATTTTCGTGGCATGGACTTTGTGGCGGAGAACTATGGGAACATGATCGATCGACTAGCCATTTCCTGGAAGACCGATGAAGCTAAATGATGCGAACTAGGCCGCCCTTGTCTGCTACTGTGGCCCCCAAGCGTACACCCCAAGCGTCCCTAAACCCTAAACCCCGCACCCCTGAACCCTAACTGTGAACCATAATTTCTGTCCTATCACACTAAACTGTCAACCCTGAGAGCCCTAAACCCTCGATTTCCGCTGATGCTTCGCGAGTGCGCGCTCGCCAGTGAAAGAATCCACTGCCTTTGGTGCTGGTGTTTGGTGTTGAGGCTTCTGGGTGTAGGGTTTTGTGTTCGAGTTTCGTCACACACTGGGTTTATTGAGGGACGATAGGAGGGACCCCTAGAAGGGACCCCTAATCCAGATACCTTATATAACTTTTATATACCCCTTATATAGTCTCACAAAGCCCCTATATAACCCCAAGAATCCTTTTAAGGGTCCCTCTTTAAGGGTCCCTCCTGTAGTCCCTTGGGTTTAGGTTTCAGGGTTTCAGGGATTCGGCTGAACTTTAGTTGAGCGGGCTATCACGGACGGGAAAGGGTCAGGACTTAGGTGTCCTTCGCACCAGAAGTTGACCAATTTGAGGCATGACAACCTCCTAAGTCCAACAGACAAACAAGGCTACCGGACAGGTAAGCTACAGCATCGAGACCATGAACAAATCCGCAATACGCAGGACCCCAAGCCGCTACCCTCTCGAAGTTGAAGTCCTGATGCAGGGGTCTGAATATTTGGTAGTGAAATTTCCTTTGCCTCCAGCGGCACCCAATGGACACCCAATCCTTGGTATGGTGGTTAAGGGCCCTTTACAAGATCCCAAAGCCTTCGCTGTGAGCTTCGACGAGCCGAGACTAATTTAGGGGCCTTAATAATTGGAATAAGGCTTTGGAGCATGTTATACTACAACTATAGTAAGGAACCCCCAAAATAGTATAGGTAATCATTAAGGCCCCTATATTACCGAGGCGCCTACTCCGTGACATCCTTTTGCATCGGGCGCCTGATCCGTGGATGCATGGCGGACTTTGGGTTTGATGATCGGCTTTGGAGGCTCAGACGTGTTTGCTTAAATAATTAGGGTTTAGGGTTTAGGGTTTAGGGTTTAGGGTTTAGGGATTGCCAATATGACTGTTAGGGTGCTCTTCAAGCCAGATCCCGAGCATGTTGCGTGGATAGAGGAATCTCTAGGAAGGGGATCCGTCGCAGGGGCTCGGGCAAGCTCGGCTGATTTTTGGATGCAGAGGCCCATCCACAACGTTTCACTCTGGAATTTTGGACGCACCCGCTTAGGGATCTACCGTCCGAGCAGGAACAGGAACAGAATATTACTTTAGAGTTCAATTGTTAGGGTTCCTTATTATATACATACATACTACAAAGGAGCCCAAAACTCTATTCTAATTATTAAAGCCCCTACAGTAGGGTTTAGGTTCTTGAGAGCTCCCGGTTCTGGGTCTCAACACTTCGTCATCTTGTTCTCTGAACGTCCCTACAGCGTTATAGTATGGTTTACTCCAAAACCTTCTTCTAATAGTATGGTTTACCCCAGAACCTTATTCTAATTAGAACCCTGAACCCCCACCCAGGCCTCTGCACTATTTGTTATGGGGGGTGGTGTGTTTTGACTCGCAGTTTCTTATCATATCGGGGCAGGAGGAGAAGGAGACTTACGTGACGATGTCAGTTGGTTTTAGTACTATTCCCCTGTAGCCCCACATATTGTTGAAAGATGTACCACCAACCTCTATTCCCCTGATCCAGGCTCACGCGTTAGATTTGGAAAGGCTTTGGCTGGTGATGGTGGTGGTGATGATGGAGACGGACGATGCCGATGGCGAGGAGAGGCGATGTCGACGATGACTGCTACCATGCGACGACGACAACGGCTACCACAAACGCGAGCATCATTGTTATTGTCAGTATCACTGTTACTCGTCTTAGTATTTTCATTATTGTGGCGGTTGTTACTACTAGTGAACTTGTTTATGGTGTTGTTGTTGCTGCTACTACTACTACTACTACTACTACTACCACTACTACTACTACTACTACTACTACTACTACTACTACTACACCACTACTGCTACTACGACGAGGACGACGAGTTCTACTACGAGTACTAGTGGGCAAAGTACTGCCATCAATGATGTTTCCAACACAAGCAAGTTCAACACTGACGAGACGAGATGCGAGTACTCCTGGTCATGTCTCGCGGCGACTGATGGCTACCAGCATTCGCTTCGACTTCAGCGACATTACAGAATCTGGTCATGTCTCGCGGCGACTGATGGCTACCAGCATTCGCTTCGACTTCAGCGACATTACAGAATCTGAGATTATCCTGCGTACAGGCAGGACAGGCGATGCTGGAGGCAGGACTGGAACCGATAGTGCCATCGAACCGGTAGTGCCATCGACGTTGGCACGCTGAGGTTTCAACTTCAATCACTCAACCGTCGACCCTAAGCGCCGAAATCACCAAGCCCTCGAAGCCTAAACCCCGAAGCCTTAATCCCTAAGCCTTAAACCACGAAACACACAGCTTTCAACCCGAAGCCCCCAAACATCTCTAAACCGCTCAACCTTTAAACATTCAACCATATTCAACCCCAGGCCGTAAAGGTCTAAGCCCTAATGCATTAAACCCTCAACCCCTTATAAACCCTACACCCTAATTCCTTCTAACGGTCTGAGGATCGCGGGATGCTCGATTGGCCTCCTCAGCACGGTGGTAGCACTTTATCAAAGCGAGGCAGGAAGTCGAAACAGAGCCAGGAGAGTTGGGGGTAGCCGCATAGAGGGGAGTCGGAACAGGTTGCCAATCATGTTACCTTATGGCCCCATTCATGGCCGCAGTAGAATATGCCGCGGAACCTTGTGGTACGTATATAACATAGCTATTTCGGGCTGTAAGGAGTTACGAAAAAAGATACGATTACTTTGTATTGAGCCCTGTAGTATGACTATGAGCTGAGGTTCGGGTCTTGAATGTTTTACAGCCATTTGCGGTGAAGGCTTTGGAACGTGCGATTAAAGGTCGCTGTAGCTGAGGGTGCCGACCGTATCTTACTAGCACCATAAACCCTAAACCCTAAACCCTAAACCCTAAGCCCTACGCCCTACATGAGCCTCCACCCCTCTTTCATTTTCGGAGCCCTGCCTGCAGACCCGAAGATTCCGAGAGACCCTAGAGACGAGAAGCAAAGATTTCGAACACGAGGAGGTAAAGGGTTCAAAGCAAAACCACCATGCTTGGCCATAGGGCTGTTCGCGTGACGCTGCACAGACGCTGATTCTCTTCCATGTCGGCATACTCACGCCTCTGTATCAGCAACCACTGGGCGCCGAAGCATCATCCTGCGAAAACGAGGCAGAGGTTAACCCTAAACCCTAAACCCTAAACCCTAAACCATATTCCAACCCGGGAGCTCCATGGCTCTGGCACGAAAACTGGCTTTGTCAGCCTATCCCTAGTGCCCCATCTCAGAAGCTTACAGCAGAATTCCCGGGCCGTGACGACGCATCAAGTCGTCAGCCCGCAAGCACAAGAAGATGCTCAAACCGACAAGCCGAAACTCTGGCTTCCAGGTTGCCCCTGCGCACCGTCGTGGGGGCCTAACTTCGCTGTACCAGCACCTCATCTCGAACTCCTTGCTGAGGCTGAGGGCGTTGGTCTCAACTTCTGATACTTGAACTTCTGTCTTCAATGTCGTCGTTCATGCCTGGTGTGAGTAGCATCACAACATCGTCGTCGTCATCAGCATCAAAATCATCATCACCACCATCATCATCAGCATCATCTTCATCAGCAGCATCAACCCTAAACCCTAAACCCTAAACCTTATCATCACCATGTCATGCCGTGTTACTGTCGCTAGACTCTTGGTCAGGAAGGGCGGGGTCGGACTGGCTCGCTGTGCCTGCTTTTCCCCCAATTTTGGCGTGAAAGGCCTTCAGAACCTGGGTTTATGGCTTAGGGCTTAGGGTTTTAAGGGTTTAGAGGTACGGTAAACTTCGGTTTAGGGTTTTGGGTTCAGGGTTTAGGGCTTTTTTCTTAGGCAAAGAACCTGCGACTCAAATCCTAAGCAGCAAGTTTCTCTTGTCGCACCGATCTCTGAAACACAGGCCGGGTCACAAGCCAAAACCCTAGAACCCTAAACCCTAATACCCTAACCCTCAAACCCTAAACCCGAAAACCCTAAACCCGAAAACCCTAAACCCTAAAACCCTAGACCCTAAAGCCCTAAAACAAGCCAATCAGGTTCAACATCACTTTGGGCATCCTCGTGGCAGCAGCAGTGGACGTCCCCTTGGTGAAGCAGGGAGGCGGCTGGAGGCGGGAAACCCTAAACCCTACCCCCGTAAGGCTAATATAGGGTTTAGGGTTTAGGGTTTTGGGTTTAGGGATTAGGGTTTAGGGGGTCGGGGGACTTAGTAAGTTGACTTATAAGTACCCTGAAAGGGACCCTAATTGGGGTTATGGTACTTATAAGTCCCTAAAATAACCAGTTGCTAAGTCCCCCGACCCTCCAAGTAAACCCTACCCCTGTAAGGCTAATATAGGGGCCCACATAAGAACCCAGACTATTTTGGGGGTTCTTTGTTCTGAGTAAAGTATAAAGGGCCCCAGAACCCGATTCTATTTATCTGAGTATAGTATACAGGGCCCCAAAACCCTTTTCTAGTTATTAAGGCCCCTTTGTTAGCCCGACTCTTGTCGCCATGGCCCAGGCACCCCAAATCCACCACTGGCGTAAGTCACGGCTGGTAGACAGTATATATGAGGTGATATTAGACTAGTGACTAGACATTGTATATGATATATCATACAGTATAAAGTTATGTTGCTGGCAGTATACCACGGATCCGATACCTGCCCAAACCAGAGCCCTGAAAAGTGCGAGACGTCCTGCCAAAGTCCGGCTTCGGAGTCGCAACAATTAGCACCTTTTTTCGTCAGTTTTCGCATAAAACTACACAAATCTGGCGGAACATGACAAGGATAACGAATTCCCCGGACTGGCAAACTCACGAAAAGTCCCTGATGCCGTCCCGGAATCATCAGTTCATTTGGCTACATCGTGGGCTCCTCGACGGTCTGTCGATGTAAGCCCTCCCAAAGCCCTCAATAATGTAGGGGCCTTAATACTCAGAATAGGTTTTGGGGCCATTTATACTATATTTCATCATAAGGAACCCCAAAATAATATAGGTAATTATTGAGGCCCCTATAGTACCCAGCAAGACTCCTGCACCCTTAGCCTTCACGCTCTGTAGCCCCAAGCACGACCGTGCTCTCCTTAAGAGGTGTTTTCGATTTTTTTGACAGATTCCAATGCCAAAACCCTAAACCCTAGACCCCTAGACCCTAAACCCGAAACCCCAAAACCCAAAACCCCTAAACCCTACACTTCAAGGGGCTATGCCAAGATGGTTTGTTCATGGGCCTGAGGGGGGCTGAGAGTCTCGAGGATCGCGATCATCCTCCAGTCCTTTCCAGCGCTCTGCCTCTTGCCCCTCGGTGCAATGCGTTTAGGGTATAGGGTGTGTAGGGTGGCCGTGCAAAGATCCCTCATGGAGCAACAGGAAGCCGGTTTAGGGTTTAGGGTTTAGGGTTTAGGGTTAGTTTAGGGTTTAGGGTTTAGGGTTTAGGGGTGCATACTGGAGGCCTAAGCCCTTAACCCTGAACCCTTGCCTGCCCAAAAGGGTGTCAAACCTATCTCGATATCCGAAGCATAGCACCCTACAGACCCATCTAAGCGTGTCCCTCCCCCTTCCCCCTCAAAGAAAACAAGCCCGTCCAAATCCACTCCAAGCCTAAACCCTACGCCCTACACCTTTCGTCCTGAAACCTCTTCAAGTTAGGGGCCTTGATAATTAGACTAGGGCTTTGGAGCCCGTTATATTATCTGTGATTATAATAAGGAACCCCCAAAATAGTATATTGATTGATTGATGGCGGACAGTCGAGCGGCGGGCTACCGAAGTAACACGGGGCCGCGCGTCCCAAAACTACGTGCCGAATTCACGGGTGAAACGAAGGTCTCGCAGCCCAGAACGACCTTGCTGAACAACGGGAGCCCTCAGTGCTCCTGTTGGACACAAAGTCATGAATCCACACCACATGAGAAGTCAATGGCTGGAAAGGCCGGGCAAGCGAGGAAAGGGGCGAATCATCATCTGCTTCAAGTCCACACTGGCGCTCAGCCGCTGTAGGCAGGGGGGGACCGAGAACAGCGGGCGCTTTGCGCGGAGGCCCCTTGGCGCAATAGTTACGCCAATGTCCATGTTTGACCTGCTTAGCTCTATGCTTCAGAGGATGCTCGAGTTGACGTATCTCCTCCAAGCTCAGAGGCCTGTAGAGGTGAAGGCAACGTAGAAGACACTTGGGCGAGGCCTTCAAGTGCTGTTGGGCCTGTATCACGTCCGGGAAGCACTTCAAGCAAGCCGAGCAAATTTCGCTCAAGGCATAGTGACGGGCAGGAGAAAAGACGCAATGAGTGCGTGCGAGATGGACATGTAAATGTTTGCGCAGGCGGAATGTAGCGGCGCAGAGATAGCAGTGAAAATCTCCCTCTAACTCACAGCTGTCGGGAGGAGATCTCACACGGCAAACCTTCCTGTCTGCCTTCCACTTTGCCAAATCCTGCAGAAAGATCCTGGTGGCCTTCTGAACCTGTCGGCTCCACCACTTAGGATCATCTTCCAGTGTGGCTAAGATGGAAGCAACCGGATCCTCACGACGTAAGCAAAACTCGACCTCAGGAACGAAAGCAGCCACAACGGCGAATAGTATAGGTAGTTATTTAGGCCCCTACACTAGGTTCAGGATATTATCTGTAATTATAATTATAATAAGGAACTCCAAAGATAGTATAGGTAAGGTCCCTACACTTAGGTTCAGGCTCAGGCTCAGGCCAGGGTCCCTGCCGGAATTTCACGGCCCCTAGGGTCGAACCGTTAGTTGTCTGGGTAGCGTTTTGCCTGGGACGGTTTAGGGTTTAGGGTTTAGGGTTTAGGGTTTAGGGCCTAAACCTCTCAACCCCAAGCCCTAAACCCGGGCTGCAACAGGGAGGAGAGAAACGGTCCCAACAAAAACAAGCAAACCCCTTAAAGGGACCCCTAAAGGAACCCTGAAAGGATCATTTGGGGGTTGAGGGTTTAGGAGTTTCCGGGTTGAAGGCTTGAGGGTTTAGGAGTTTAGGGTTTAGGAGTTTAGGGGTTGAAGATTTGGGGTTTAGGTAGGGTTTATGTAGGGTTTAGGAGTTTAGAGGTTGAAGGTTTGGGGGTCTGGGGTTAAGGTTGGGTTTAATTAGGAGTTTAGAGGTTGAAGCGGCTCAGGAGTTTACGGGTTGAAGGTTGGGGCCTTAGGTTTTTTGAAAAAATCAAAACATGTGG